TTACATGAACACATTAGGCTTCCTGACACTGAGCTCTGCACTTTGACAGACCGACACATGCTGTCATAGGTAACACAGACCCACAGACCTCCGTAAATAAGGAAAGAGCCTGCCTCCATAGAACTTAGAGCCTAGGCCAGAGTTTGTGCCTTTGGTTGACATCTGGTGCCCGGAAGGAAGGAAGCTGGCAGTTGCAGAACCTCATATGCCCATTTCCTTTATTGAAATCTCCAATCAGATTGGTTATTCCACCTCTTCTGAAGAAGGGTGGGTGAAGGCCTAGAAAAAGCCATAGACGATTATTCCAGGGCCTCCCTCCATATAAAGGGAAACACCAGAAGTGGGTAGGAGTGTCTCCCCCCTCTGTATTGTACTCTTCATTAGCTTATTTCTTACCACTGTGAGGCTCTTGAAACAGAGACACTTATACTACCCATCCCAGCACCTGGCACACAGTAGGTGTTCAGGAAGGGGAATGAACTCTCAGCTAATACCAGTGGTTTCCTAAAGGAGCACCTTTCCAACACTGAGAAGGATGCCTTTTCCTCATTGTATCCTCCTGCTAGCCCAGGATCATTCCTTTATCATGTTTTCCAGGTCCTTTCTTTTCTGTGTATTATGGTGGTTCAAACTAGGGGCAAGAGGTGTTACTGGATGATTCAGGACACATATTTCCCTAGGCCATTCTGTGCCTCACACTCTGCTTGGGTCAGGCTCTGTGAACAGGTGAAGGGAGCTGTGGGTGCCTTGTGAGAAGAGATAGCCCCCAGGAGTGGCCCTGCTTTCCTATTGCTGAATGGCAGTGTCCCGCCTTACCTACCTTGTGAGAATCACGGAGAGTAGTGTTGAGAGATCACTTTGGAAAATGGAGAGTACTTTGTGAATGTGAGGCAGTGAGATCTGTGGGAATATGTTAGAGAAAAATTCATGGTTTTTAAGTGCTAAAAGATGGTTCAGACTCGACCAGGATGGCAAAGGAGGACAGACTTACAGGCTTTCACTAGAGGTTTGCTTCTTTGGTAAAACTTTGTCCCAGTGGAGGCTAGATGCCCAAGCTGGCCCACGAAAGCCTGTATGACTCATCACACAGTGATATTTACTGTCTACTAAGTTCTAGATATGTACTAGACATATCAGGTATATTATCTTAATTCTCTACAATAACCATCAAAGGAGAATCCCTCCTTTACCAATAAAGAATTTGAGGCTTATCAAGGTCAGATTACTTTCCCAAGGTCACACAGTTAGTATTTACTGGACCTTACCCACAGCTGGATATCATAAACTTGTTGCTGTGGTGTTGTTTCTGTAGAGAGGAGGGATTCCCACAGGGATAAGGAGAGGCTAGGGAGTTTGGAAGGGCTGAAAACCTTCTGTCAGGTTTATCTGTAAAGCCAGCCATTGCCAGCCACTTGCCCTTGGGCCATCCTTACTCCTAGGGAGGAGCAGCCTCTTCACTTAGGGCACTTTCTAAGCTCAAGATTGTCCTAGAAATGCCAATCTTGTCTTCAGAGGCTCTGGGTAAATGAAAAGAGCAAGAGCTTGATAGTCCAAAGCAAGGGGAACTCTCCAGGGCCTGGCTCTAGGTTGGGAGCCCCAGGCTATAGGCTACTGTCTCAGGGGAATTAACACGGCCAACAATGCTGGATCCTCTGCAGGAGTTGAAAGTCGGGAGATTTTACAAATGTTTCAGCCTAACAAAGCCCCCGACACTTATAGCCATTCAGCTGGAATTTAATAAATATATGAGGAAACTTGAAAAATGTAGATAAATTTGAAATTGGGATGATCATTTGGACATTGAATGTGGGGAGACTGTTTTCTTGTCATTTTTTCCCACTCCTACCCTTACAGCTTTCCTGCCTAGGGGACTAAAGAACAATGACTTATGATTTCAAATAGAGAAGAAAATAGGAATTACACTTAGCATAGAATGATTGAGGTGCTGTTCACCTTGGGGATTTGTCCCCAAAGGCTGTTCACTGCCCTGTGGCTGGGGTCTGTTTCTGGGGATCTGTTGTAATGATTTTCCCTGGCTGAGATCCTGCCTTTCTCAGGATCATCTTTTGGAGAAATGATTTTGATTATATCATTGACTTTCTAGTGCTAGCTCCTCCCTAGCAAAGTCAACCTGCACCTCTCTATCTCAGCTCTGTCTTTCCAAAACTCATGAGAAGCAGGGTCATTACTGTCCATTATAGATAGTAACAAATGCACAGTGCCAGGCACTTGCCTAAATCTTTGACCTTCATAACCTCATTTGTCCTCACAACGGAGGAAAGCTATTAGCAGGCCACCTTCCCTGACCCCACTACCACATGTCTTACCACCAGTTTCATTTCAGCTCTATCTACTTCCTGGCCCTTTTAACTCTTGATTTACTCCCTCTTCTATGTTTGAGTCATACTCGTTCATAGCCCTGGAATAGCATATACTGTGGCTTTGTGATAATTGGTGTATATGTTCACTCATCCAGTCTTCCTCACAATCCATTTTAATGTGTACCTCCTGTGTGCTGCCTGTTGTACCCATTGGACTTGAAGTTTCACTGGAACAAAAGACTATGCCTTGTTCTCACTGTGTCTGAGGACGTAGTAGATCCTCAGGAAATGTTTGTTAGGAGAAGTGATATCTGGTCCTAGAACAATCTTCTTTCAGTCTCGCCAACTCTAGATAATAAAAAGTGAAAAACCTGTCACTTTCCTCTTAGCTTAGTGTGGAAACACAGCTATGATCCTGCATACTTGACTCTTAGTGATCTGCCTTCACAAAGGAGCCAAGCTATAGTTAACCCTAAAAGACCATTAGTGGCAGCAACACATGGGGGTGCTCATTCATTTTTTTCCGTAAGTGCTGAGCACCCAGCAGTTGTCAGGCTCTGTGCTAGGAACTAGAGCCACAGAGATGAAGAAGACACACACACACAAACACACACACACACACGCACACACACACAAAACCCATGACCTTAAGGAGATCATCAGACTAGGTGGAAAGTTGACAAGGTCAGAACAAGTTAAGCACCTTGGTTTATTGAGTGCCCTGCTGGGGAGATTTTTAGAAGGAGGCAAGGTCGGACAGAGAAAACTATCAAGAGAAGGTGGCATTTAAGCTGAGTCCTTAAAAGAAGTAATATTTGGACCTGAGGAAGTAGGTGACAAAGTTTTCCCTAGGAGCAAAGGCATATAGGTGGGAGATTGTGTTTTGGAAAACCACAAATGTCCTTCTGATAATTTGTCAGTAGCTGGCAGGGTGAGGCAAGGGTGACCTTCATTACTGTGGACCCATCACTGTGATATTTCCATCTCCCTACCATTCCTTCCTCCTGCCTAAAAAATAATTCTGCTAGGTTATAACCTAAAAGACTTTGTCCCATAGAAGACATGTATAGGGAACTACTGTGGAGTGAAGCCCTGTCCAGGCAGTCCCATGGGGTTCTTGATTCTTCAGCCCTTGAGTCCCCAGATGCACACAGGCCCCTCACCCATGTTTTGGGAAGGAGAGAGAAGAGCCAACAAAGACCTCCCAGACTGCCCATGAGTTTCCAGAAGATGTAGACACTGTAGGCAGCTGCCTCGATCCATCAGCAGGAGGAGGCCAGAGAGGCAGATTAGTCACTCACATCATTTTCTGTTGAGTCAACATCTATTTTTAGGTGAGAACTTATGAAGGGACCTGCTGTCTCTGTCATAGAAGGGAAGAGTGTGTCATGGGTGAGGGGTCTACTCATCCTTCATCTTCTTTAGTACATCCATTTTCTCCCTCTAAATGTTGAAGGTCCAATTTAACATGCAATTCCTTTTGCACACATGCTTTTATGTGTGCATGCCCACACGTATGCATACCTATCCCCGGTTTATTCAGAGTCTTAGGAGGTCTTGTAAATTGATTATATAGAATAAATAAAACGCCCAACTGAAAAATACTAAGGCATATAGGTCCCTTCCTGTCCAACGTTGTCAGATGTATTCTGAAAAGACTGTTTTCATCGTCTATTCTGAGCCATAACCGCCCCAGAAATAGCTTAAGCAGGAAAGTGCTTTTGTTAGACTAGCTGTAAATTATATTTCAAATGTCTGATGTTGTTTTCTTAAAAAATAAATAAATAAGTAAATGAAAGTCTAAAATTAATGACTGCTGGGGTTTGCTTTGCTTATGTGTACTGCTACAGATTTGGCTTCTTGCAGATGGAATTTCAGATCTGTTTACACTTCTGTGTTAGCTTTTTGGGGAAAAAAAACAGTTGAGAGATCTGAGAGGACAAATTTACAAAGTCGAACTTATTATAACCATCGGTGAAGCATCTTCTCTCTCTCCTTGTCTTCCCCTCCCTCCTGTCCACTGTGTCCCCATTTTATTTGCTGTAGTTTTATTTGCCCTGCCTCAAAGTTAGAGGAGACTGGTCCTTGCATATGTGACAACAAGGTCACATACCTAGTGTTCACAAGCAGATATTCATTCAACTCCATTTCACCAACACTTTGTCATTGAGTGAGAGCAGATCTGTGGGAACAGATTGGAGCAACACAAAGGATGGGACATAGAAAATCTTGCAGAGAACCTGATTGCTTTTATGTTTTCAAGAAGGGAATGTGGGTAGAAGGAGAGAAATGTGCAGAGAAGAATTTCATGGGGTTTTTTCTGGTTTATTCAAAGATTATTATGTGTTGGATACAGTAAATCATCTATACACCCACATCCAGGAGGTAAATCTTCAGAATTTCATGCGTGGGTAGTTCTGCATTTAACAGCTGCCATACAGTAACTATTTTGTTCTGCACTTGGAGACCCTTATCTGTGCATTTAAGTTATCATCAACTCTCCTTTTATTCCTCTATTGCTGTTCTCCTGGTCTCTTTACTATTACAGAAGTAGCTCCAACTCTGAATACTGAGGATTTAAACTGACACATGAGTATCAGGACAGATTGGTTGTTGACTCAGTCTCTACCCTCAGGATGGGTGCCTACCATGTATATAACTCCTCTTGCCTTTTCCTAGGTCTCATATGCCCGTCCAAGCTCAGCTTCAATCAGGGATGCTAACCTCTATGTTAGCGGCCTTCCCAAAACCATGACCCAGAAGGAACTCGAGCAGCTTTTCTCACAATATGGTCGGATCATCACCTCACGAATCCTGGTTGATCAAGTCACAGGTTAAGTGTTTGTAATTACTTTCCTTGTATATCAGTGCTTTGTTACCCATAGGAGCAGACTACTGATTGCTTAAGGTTAAGGGTATCAGTCCTGAGCAGGCAGGTTTCTGACTTGGGAGAAACACTTCTTATTCATCAACTACCCCAATTTAAAATGGGCTATCTTGGGTGACCAGAGTTTTCTACCAGGGGAATTATTCCAGCAACTGCTAAGCTATTTGGCCAGGTCATAAAAGAATTTGGGTCTCAGGCTAAGAGGAGACTGTATGACCTTCAAAGTTTCTTTCAACCCTCAACCAGTAGCATTACTTTTATATGTGAAAATCAGTATGTATTGTTCTAGCTCCAATTCTTGGCATTATAAAGTTAGAACTTCAAACCATCTCATTTCACATATGAGGAAACAGATTCAAAGCAAGAGATCCATCTTCCCACTAGCTAGTCAGTAGTAGCGCAGGGTTAGGAACCCAGGCTCTGGTCCTGGGACTCTTTGTCCATAATAAAGAAAGCCAGCCACCACCTCTCAGTAAGAAATGTAAAATACCTTGGGTTGCATTTTTAACATCAGGGTGTTTTTGCCTGCCCCCAATTTGATCTCAATTTAGAATTCATTCCCTGAGAGTCATTTAGCACATGTTTATCATTTGATTCATGCAGCCAACTCTCAATGAAGTTGGTTCTGCCCCAGATGGGGGGCCAAAGGTGGAGGGCAGTTCCTAGATTTATGGGACTCCTCTGTGAGAGATCCTGCTAAGGACTGTCCAGTGCCCTGTGAGAGCTCATAAGAAGGCATACTATACCTGGCAGTGATTGTTGGGAAGGCTCCATTGTGGAGGCAGTGTTTGAACAGGGATTTGGAGGATGACTTGAAGTTACCTGGCAAAAAGGAGGAATATAAAGCATTCCAGATGGGGAGGACAACATTTCCCAAGGCATGAAGGTAAGGGAGGACACAGCCTAGTGAAGGAGTGCCGGGCAGTTTAGGGTGGCTTGTGTAAAGCTCAGTAGGGGATTTGGGACAAGATTGCCAAGGACAGTGAGTGCCAGGTCAAAACATTTGTACTTTACATGCAGCAAGGAACCAGAGAATGGTGTTTTGTGGGTTTTATTTGTTTTTTATTCCATTTAGGCCAGTGAGAAATAAGTACCGTGCCCAAAGTACAAAATTCAAAAGGCACAAAAGAGATATAGAAGATATTTTTAAAAGGTACAATATGGTGAGAGTTTGCTTTTCAAATAGATGACTTAGTTACTAGGTGTGGAGGATACATGGGAATACGAGAAATTGGATGATGGGTGTTTAGTTACAGTAACTCAAGGGAGATAGAACTGAGCAGGGAAGTGGTGGAGTGCTGGAGCAGACAGATGCAAGTGCTGTCTCTGAGCTGCAGTAGGAAGCTTCTCTCCAGAGCCATGCTGATGGAAGTGCAGGCAGGTGTGCTTTGGTTGTAAGGACGATTCAGGGATCCAGGCTCAGCCCTGGTGCAACAGGTGGGTTAAGTCCCCATAGAATGGCTATGGGGTCCCACTCATGCCTTCCCAGAGATATTTACCAGTTTGCTTTGTTCACTTTTTACAAAGGCTCTTTCTCTTTCCCAGGAGTGTCTAGAGGGGTGGGATTCATCCGCTTTGATAAGAGGATCGAAGCAGAAGAAGCCATCAAAGGGCTGAATGGCCAGAAGCCCAGTGGTGCTACAGAACCGATTACTGTGAAGTTTGCCAACAACCCCAGCCAGAAGTCCAGCCAGGCCCTGCTTTCCCAGCTATACCAGTCCCCCAACCGGCGCTACCCCGGCCCACTCCACCACCAGGCTCAGAGGTTCAGGTAGGCCTGCCCACAGTGGAAGGACCCTGCTACACCAGTACAGAGCTGTGCAAGGGCCAGAGAAGCTCACAGCCTCTGCCCCCAGGAATCACTGTGCAAAACTTCCCCTGGAGCCTCAGTTCCCACTTATAAAATGAGATGATTGGACCAGATGCTCTTCAAAGCTCCCTTCCAGCTTATCACTGACTGCTTAAACCTGGAATTCTTTGTTGGAAACAAAATTTCTGTATTTAACCAAAATAACCAAATAAGAAGGTTCAGTTTCAATAAGAGTTAATCACAGATAAGTGACCACATCTAGCAGTTTAGACATACAGCTGGACAGTAGCTTTTATTTATTGATTTATTTATTTTGACAGTAGCTTTTAATACAAAGACTAGAGTAGGAGGCATATCCTTGCCAGAGGAAGTGGCTTGCCCTGTCCTTTTTTCCCAGTTAATTGTGTGTATTTCCAGGGGATCAGAGTAGGGGACAAGGAGGAACTCTCTTTAATGTTACCTCCACTCCATTAACACACTCAGAAATCGAGGAGGAAGATTTCATCCAAGCCTTGTTAATGTTTCCTTCAGGTACCCAACCCCCAGGAAGTTCCTGGTGCAATGGAGCATTTCCTCCTGGAACATTTCTAAAAGTCAGGTCTCTCCTATGAAGGCAGTGCCACCTTAACCAGCCTGAATTGTGCAAGAGAAAAATATGGTCTTGACCTTCCCATAGTTAATTCTAAATAATGATTTTATTCTGCCCACACCCCAATTTCCCTTTAATGAAAGCATTTTTCTCCTTGTCACACTTCCCATGGGGAAATAGTAGGTCCTTCTATCTAGAATAGTAACAGTCCACCTGGCCACAGTGAGGAGAAAACCAGGCTCTGCAATTGTCCTCCAGTGCCTGTGAATCTGAAATGGTTAATGATTTCATGGAAAGTCCAAGTCATCTAATTTTTATTTTGTGTAAGAGCACATGCAGTATTTATGTAAAAAGCTTCTCCAGCAGGCTTCTAATGGTGGAAACTATGGTTACTACTGCCCCATGGTGTGAATAGCTTGTCCCCAAGTAAGGTACTGAACGTGAGGAAGATTATAACATAATGACGGTTTGCTGAGAAGTACTTTCAGGCTGTAAATAATGAGCCATTTTTTAACATTGTAACCCAAAAGCACTCCCTGCCCCCCAAAAATGTGTGTGGTAAGATTTAGTTAATGTAGCTAAGCAAACAGAAAAGATCCATTTGGTTGTGTAGTGTTAATGTGGAACAGAGACCTTTTATTCCCAAGTTTAATTATAGTAAAAGGTGAACAATTTAAGAAGGACCCCCCTTCCTTAACAATTTCACACACAATATAAAATAAGATGCATACAAATGTTCTGAGAGGTGGGGGTAGTGGGATTAATTCAGACTTTGAAAGAAAAAGGGATTCATTAGACACTTGCTTTAAATTCTAGCATTGACCTGAACATGAATTACTTGGAGTTGGAGGCAGGAAAGGGGGAAACTACTGGTGGATAGACTCCTAAGCAGTGGGGAAAGTTGTTGAGCTTTTCTTCGTTGAAAATGGAGCATTCTTATTAATAGTTCCATTGAGCGATCTTGCCATCTGTGAGGCATTAACCCAGAGACCCTCCTTCTCTTTGCAGGCTGGACAATTTGCTTAATATGGCCTATGGCGTAAAGAGGTAATTAAAACTCCACAGATTGCCAGATGTCCGTGTTGGCACAGACTGGGGCTAGAATTTTTTTTTTAATTCACTAACTTTACTGTTTTTTTTTAATTCTTCCTTTTTCTTCCACCAGCATGTCAAATTCTTCATTTTAATTTCAGACCTCAGTTGATTTTGTTTCTTTTAGGGCACACAAAATGTATTTGTGTGTTTCACTTTTTCTTTTATTTGCAGGTGGGCTTCCCGTATGGTTCAGGTGCCACAGCTACCAAACCCTTGATAATCTTGTCCTTTAAATAGCTTCCCTACTGGATAAAGCTCTGACTCTGCTGCCTGATTTTGCAAACTTGCAGAGCAACTGTTTTGCATAAGCAATGCCAAGATTCAGTTAAGAGGGCAGATTCCAGCAAATCAAAATTAGAACATTTTGCTAATCATGGCTGACAATCTTATAATTTTCAATAGAAAAATTAGATTTGGACTGCCAGCCCTGGCCACAGCATAAATTAATGCATGGATGACTTTCTGACTCCAGTCCCACCTCAGTGTGCCTTTCAGAGCACATTCTGAAATGAAGTGTATCTGTGTGCACCTCAACCAGGGATTTCTTTTGTTACAGGTTTTAACAGTTAATATAAATCCTTCCTTGGTTATATATGTATGTGGGTTTTAAACTTGGTGTTTCGTTCATTTAAACCCTTTTCATGGGATCGGGGGCTCAAAGAGTCAGGGCTTTGGGGACCCTTTTAATGCAGTCACAAGAGTATTCCAGACTCAGAGTGAAATCTGAATCTCAGGTAGTAGATGTGTTATGTCACTGTGTCCATGCGATTCCCATATGTGCTTTTGATAAGCTCCACTGCACTGCCAGCACTATAGCATCTTCATCGTCTTGCTCAGTAGAGCTGCACACTGTAATTCCCCTTCCTCCAGTCAAGGGAAAGAGATGTGGCCTTTAATAGCCCACATCACACTCCCCACTCTAGGCAATTCTTGGCCATGCATGGTAAGTACCCTGACTCTGGAAACAAGTGCACAGTGGAGGGAATGACTTGACTGCAGACTTCACAGAGTGCTAGCCTCTGGAATCTCAGCCCTAGTGCCAGTGATGATAACTGAATTATCGCCACATGTCTAACACACTGCTTACCTGTTCCCAAGCATTTAAAATCTTTCCTAGTTCTGTCCCATCCATTCACTACTCTGACTTTAGTGAAGTAGCATCAAATGTTATGAAAAGTGATACTTATAACACAAGTGTGACCAGGGAAGTCATAGCTGGAGCAAGTGTTCCCAACACAGAGTAGACAGCACTAGTTGATGCCAGCATTGTCATTTCCAGGGGAATCCAGATTTAGATCTAGAATCCTTCCGCCCTAAGTGCTCCAGGTAGCGATTGCCAACTAAGTGGAAGTCTTACTTGAAACCTCTCTGATGTCTCTGACCTTGGTCTTCTGATAAATGCTTAGCTGTTCTCTGTGTATAACTGAAAGAGGTCAGTTCACCTGGTTGAAGGAGAGGCAGCTGAAAGGACAGTCTTTAGAAATAATGCAAATAGCAATTACACTTGTATTTGCTCTTCTAAGAATTTGTACCATGAAGGTTTTTGGTTTTGTCTAGTATTTGTTTTTATCCAAGAGGAAAGATTAACTTGGTGAATAGTAGCAAAAATACTGTCTATTGAATTGCTGTTACAGCTAGTATATTTTTAGCAGGCAGCTATTATATTATCTAAATTCTAGTTGATACAGAACAATTCTTTAACTGGACTTTCAAATACCCAAGAATATTTTCTTATTTTTAAAAACAGTCCCAGCAGGCCTGGTGGCACATGCCTATAATCCCAGCACTTGGGAGGCTGAGGCAGGAAGGATCTCATTGAGATCGAGGCCAGCCTGAGCTACATAATGAGTTCAAGGCCAGCCTGAACTACATAGCGAGACCCTGTCTGAAAAAAAAAAATAAAACAATTTAACATTTTACTCATGTTCTTCCCTAATTTTTTCTTCCTCTTCTCCTATCCACTCCTGTATAAGTTCAATCGGAAACAAAATGTTAACAAATATTGTTCTACTGCAGACACTCCTGTTGTGATTATTTCACCTGAGGCTTGCATCACTAATCACACATGGGTTAATTTTATCAGTGAATAGAATCTGAAAGGTTATTTTTTTCTTGTCAAGATTACATAAAAATTGAGATTTCTAAGCCTAATATAAAAGTAGTTGCAATAGGACAAATAGAAGTTTTATCCTTTTCTAATGTACAGCAATTCTCAACATATAAATGCTCGAGCCACTTGAAATTTTGTTCCAGTGATGCTTTGAAGTAAATTCCAGACAATATAGCATTAAGGAGTAGTACGTCTCTATTATTATCACTTTAAGTTTTTGGGAGACAACTTTTTGAATAAATGCTAAATGAAACATTAGCTACTCATCTAATTAATAACAAGATGTGTCTGTTCATTCTCATGTACCTCCATCCCCAGTAGTATCAAAGGTCTTTGACAGCCAGAGGACTGAAAAGATGGTAACTTGAGCACTTCTGGGGCCATCTCTAATCTGCCTAAAACATAAAATTCCCCAAACATTGATATCAACCAGTTATTTACCTAATCAACAAATATTTATTTAGTTTTTTCTGTGTGTCACTGTGTCTTTAAGATTACCATATCTGTTCCACGGAATAAATAAGTAGAAAAACAGAATGAGTGTAATAGAGACCTCTCCCCAAAGAGCTCGCTGTCTGTTATGGGGATGGGGTAGAGTCAGGGTGGGGCAATGTGTGAGCATATACTGTGATAGAACTCTGATAGAGCCTTGCTCTGGAGCATTGGGAATTGCTCATGGGAGCATTTAGGAGTTGGCCTAGGGCTTTTTCTAGCCATTCTCAACAGAAGAAATGCCACAGATGTTAGTTTTTGCATTTTGGTTTTTACACCCTGAAGACTCCTGCAAACACTCACTCGGCCCTTTGCCCCATGTCTGTGTCTGTGCATCTGTGTGTTATCCCTGGTCAGACTGATGTCTGGACCAGTCCCCCCTTCTGCTTGTCCTCCCAGGTTCTCCCCAATCACCATTGACGGGATGACGAGCCTTGTGGGAATGAACATCCCTGGTCACACAGGAACAGGCTGGTGTATCTTCGTCTACAACCTGTCCCCTGATTCTGACGAGAGTGTCCTCTGGCAGCTCTTTGGCCCCTTTGGCGCAGTGAACAACGTCAAGGTTATCCGTGACTTCAATACCAACAAGTGCAAGGGATTTGGCTTTGTCACCATGACCAACTACGATGAGGCAGCCATGGCCATTGCCAGCCTCAACGGGTATCGCCTGGGAGACAGAGTGTTGCAAGTTTCCTTTAAAACCAACAAAGCCCACAAGTCCTGAATTTCCCATCCTTACTTATTAAAATATATATATAAATATATACGAACAAAACACACACATGCACACACACTTACACAAAGAAAGAGAAACAAACTTTTCAAGGCTTATATTCAACCATGGACTTTATAAGCCAGTGTTGCCTAAGTATTAAAATATTGGATTATCCTGAGGTGTACCAGGAAAGGATTTTATAATGCTTAGAAAAAAAGAAAAAATAAATAAAAAAATACCTTTGATGCATTGAATGTTCTTTCATAGCTGTCGTTGTTGAATATAATATACATAGATAGCAATGTGCAGGGATTTTTACCCAGCCAGCTAACTTTACTACCTTCCTTGAAGGTGGATCTTTTTAAGATGACCATTCGCTCATTTGAAGAAGAAAAACAAAAAACAAAAAAAAATAATAAAAACAATTTTTACAAAGTAATGGAATTCAGAGAAAGAAAAAAGATTTTTCTTTTTTGTCAAAATGTTGATCCAATCAGATTGGTTTAAGCCCCCACACAAATTTAAGAGAAACAATAAAAATTGCAAAAATGAAAAAAAACTTTTGCAAATTTTTTTATTTTCCCTTTTTTCTTTTATATCATGTGAACTAAAACAGTCTTCTGTTAGGGGACAGGGGCAAGGGGGATACCTGATGACATTAACAATTTAATAACATTAACATTGTTGCCAAAGAGGTGGTCTCTTTGCTGAAAATGGGTTTCAAGAAAAATCTATTTTTATAAAATATAAAGAATTTTTACAAGAGAATCTGGATTTGAGAAAAAAATATTTTGACTGGCTAATTTAGGGGAAATTGACAACTTTGTCGCGTTCATACTGCACTGGTAACTTTTTAGAGATCAAGATGTGTGTTTTAAACTGGATTCGTAGACTGTTTTTTGAAGGATGGGCTATAAACAGATGATCTTCATATCTTTTCATAGCATGTAATAATAATAAAAAATATTAATTACTAGGGGAAAGGAGTGTTTGTTCTACCCAGGGTACCACAGTTCCCCACAGTCAAAACCCAAAAGCAAGGAGATGAGTTGAAAGACAATTTTTCTTTAAGTCATCAGTATGGGATGTCAGCAGAACAAAAATTAAAAAGATTAATTTTCTTTTTACTCTAAAACTTCCTTAGTTTGAGCAGTAGGTGCTACAAAATTATTTACATATCTTAGTATCATAGTTAAATGTAATGTGTTTAGGAGAGGAAAACAAAAGATACATTTGCTTTAAATTAATTAAGCAATTTTCAGATTCACTTTGTAGCCCATACTGATAGGATTGGGCTGTGTTGGTACATTTGAAACACTGTTTATGTTGCTTGAAAACACTTATTTATTTAATCGCCGATGTGATGATGCCTATGGCCGAGATCAAATATAGCTAGATTGGCTAGACTACTTATTTGTTTACTTAAACTATGGGAAGAAGCATATTATTGTGTCATTCTGTTGTGTGTGTATGTGTATATATAATATAAATATATATATATATAAAGTTATTTTTTCTTTGGGTTAATTTATTATAAGTTGTAACACTTGGCTAGTTTTGTTTGTATATGTCTTAAAATGTTTTCTTATGATATTTAAGTGACAGTTAAAGAGGTATCAAGGTAACTTGTGTAGAACTATTGTTTGATATATTGTCATGTTTGTTGTGAATATTTTTTCTTACTGCACAGTAGAAAAATAAAAGCAACTGGTCTTTATTTTAATGTAATTCAGATTGGGAAAAACAAAACAGAGCTAAGGGAACAAAATGACTGCGGGAGCACTCTCCCAAGTCCAGTGCACTGATCATTTTAGTATGTTTGTGCTTTGTACGGTTATATATTTAAAACAAAAACAAAACAAAAAAATACAAGAGTTCATGCTCTTCCCTGGGTAATAGAAACAGTTACTCGCTATGCATAATCTAGTTGATAGTTAAATTTGCTATTGCTTTTCTTGTCTTGTTATATAAAATCTTTTCAATACAAGTTTAGTCTTAATGGTAATAAAATGTTATGGTTATTTATAACTTGTGCTTATTTTGTGCATTTTTTCCCATGCTGAACCCACTAACTGCATGTAGACAGGACTGTTGTTTTCACACTGAAGAGGCAAACTTTGTAGTAGTCGTCGTAGTGGTAGACAGATCATGAAAACCAAGGCTGCATCATAGACTCCTCCTTTAAATTTTTTTTCCTCTTTTTCAGTTTTGGAAAAAAAAAACACCAGATTTCAGTTCAGAGAACACTTGTTCAACATTCAGGGAAAACTTTTTACATCACCTGCTATGAATGAACGCAGTTTGCTGGCAAAGTTTTGTTGCATTTGCTAAGCATTAGTGGGAAAGGCATGCCAAAATCTCTTCTCTATAATGTGTTCAATCTGGGGGAAAAAAAGGAAAAAAAAAAACCTTTAGGACCAGGCAGTGTATTCTTTAGTTGTAAATGAATGACTTCATGTTAATCTTGCTAGTTTAGATGATTTCTGAGGGAAAGTATTGTAAATGTTTTTTTCATAATCTTGTTGTGTTTGAATTATTTGTACTTTATCTGTCCAGACAATAAATGAAAGTGTGTAGAATGAATTTGAGCTTCCCAAATTTTTAAATGTGTTCATTCAAACTTTTTTTTTCTGTAGCATCTGCAGATTTATCCAATATTTTTTATCATTAAACTAGGGAAAAGAAAAAAAAAGTAGAGTAAAATTCTGTTTTGTAACTTAGCCCAGTCTGTCAGAATCAACACAGGATTCAAAAGTCATTGGCCTAGTTCCATGCTACTAAAACTGTGGTCCCCAATCGGCAATATCCACATCATCTGAGAGCATGTTAGAAATGCAGACTCTTGGGAAGAATGCAAATCTATATTTAACCAGTTACCCCCAGGTGAATCACTGGTGATTCAAAGTTTGAGGAGCACCGCTCTGGCTGATAAACCAGAACACTTGTTATTCCATGCACCAGGATGACCCATTAGTGTGTGTTGCTCATTTATAAGCATACTTCTGACTTGGCCAGAAGACAAGGAGTCACCATTTGCAGAGCATTCACCATGTATCAGTCAGGCTGAGTGTTGTCCTCTACATTCTCTCACTTTATCCTCTCAACAATGTGAGAGGAGTAGAATGCATTATCCTCATTTCACAGATGACAAGACCAAGGCTCAGTGAGATTTAATAACTTGAAATGCCAGCAAAGCTCCAGCTGGGATTTGAAACTGAGTCTGACTCTACTGAACAGCTCCTCCACATTGAGATTGGAGAACTTGTGTAGTGTTAAGGTAGCAGACCATTTGTATTGAAAGTGACAGCTACACAAATAAGGTGACCTTTTCATTGTCACATTCATATTTGTTTAGAAATAGCAAATATTTTACTTTTGCTTTTGAACAGAACCCCTAAACACAGATGTATTCACACAGTGTGGAAAGAACATGATTTGAGCTCAACCTAGAAAGAAGAAAACTGCCTACCTTATTAGGAAGCCACATTAAAATGTGCCCTGAACTTTACAGAATGAGCTTTTTAGTGATTTCCTAATATGATCACTCATTGATGATCTACTGTCTGTCTTTCATTTTCATTTTCTTGCTAATTGAAAATTCATAATACCTATAAAACATCACCATCCATAAAGTGATACTTCAAAAAGAAATGCTCCCACTGAGCCAAATGAACGAACACTCAGATTCTCTTCCATTTCTCATTAACCCCTTTTTTATTATTATATTAAATTACCACATTGTTTGGAATAATTAAATTCAGTCAAAGTATGGAACTTAATTAACCAAGCTAAATATTAAACCTCTGTGTCAGCCTGAACCTCACACAGTTGAACTCATAATTTCTTCTTTTAGTTTTATCTTAAAGACAAGGCTCTTTCTTTTCTAATTGACATTTAAACAAATAATTACCCCACGGTAATAGTTTCACAAACATGTTTGTAGGCTCTAAAAATGTTGCTGCCAGATCTGTGATAGTTACACTCATCACCACCCCTGCTCTTTAGAGTACTATAAATGGATAGATACATTATTTTGGAATATTAGAAGTTGGTGAAATCATTGTATTTCATATAGTTCATTCTCTAGACTCCAACAGATCTGTCCTGAAAGTTCCACAAATACCAATAGATCTTTAAATAGGTCTTGAAGATATCCATGGAAAGACCTCATTATACACACACTGTCTTGGCAACATTTCCCAACATCAGCACAATGCCTAACAACTGCCTAATGTAAAATAAAAAATTCATCTTGTTGCAAGTGTAAGCTTTTTGCCTTAAATCTCCCAGCAAACATACCTAGTTTCTGTAGGAGTTTGTAGGCAAGATCTAAGAAATCACAATAATGCAGAGATTATCAAATTCTTTAAGGTCTTAGGTACATTATATTTTGCTTAGATGAAAAATTGCATGTCACAGAAGGCTGACAGTATTTACTTAGTGTTATTTCTGTCAAAGCAATAGGAAGGAAGAGCATAAAAATGTGCTTGTATCTACAGCCATCCCACATCACTACCAGCATCAAAACTTTATTTACTTTTATTACCTAAGATCAAGCACTGACCAAATGATTACAGCCAGAAATTTTTATCAACTTGAATTCTGTTTAAATTTCTTTCATCAAGATCATCACTTATTCATTTGTAAATAAGACGTTTACCCCCAAAGAACATTTAAAAGCATATTTGAAACTCCAAAAGTCTGTGAGGTATCCATACCCTGTGGATACCTGAAGTTTGTCAAAATATGACACATACTGCTTTTTGCCATAGATAATTCAGGAAACTTCCAGTCCTTGAAATTACTTTATCTGTCCTATAGGCACTATGCATTTGTTCCTTAACAGACATACACTTAAAAACACACAGTGGCAAGTATTTGTACAATTGAGTTTAAAACCTCCTTTTATTACTTTCATCTGTGAATTCAAAAATCATACCTGACAAGATAGCGTTAACAAGAGTGTTTTCTAAATGGAAAATATTAAAATCTCAATCTGAGGCCATCCTAACTAGATCCTATCCACGGCATTAACAGGAGCTCATGAAACATAGCTGTATAATATCCTTAAACCCTTCACTGACTTTGTTCTACCTGAAGAGAATAATAAGAGAAAATCATTTTATTTCCATGAGGTAAAATCAAGTTTTATTATTGTCCAAAAATGATTTATACCATTCCTTTATCTTATTAGGTTTTTGGCATATTAGATAATAAGATAATTTCTCCAAGTACAGTATTTATGTAAAAATCATTTCTCTCTGTGCCGATCACTTACAGAAGTGTCCTTTAACAGGAGAGAATGGTGCATAATCAGCACTTAAGATTAAAATAGACCTAAGAACATAAAAGTGTTCCTTCAATTAAAGGAATAGCATTTCTCCAGTCTCATTTTTGTTTCTGTGGCAGACTGAAAACTGATTTAAAATCACCCAACCCCAGGTTAATTAGCAGAAGGCTTTCCTGTGCAAGTTTAGCTTAATCTACCAGTGGTTCAAATGCAAAATGGACTCACAGGGCACACCAGAAGCTTGTGTAATTATTTCAGAAGATTTACAGCAAAGTTTTTGAGGTTTAAGAAGTTGTTTCTAGAGAAAGTACCAGCATGTTTTAAGTCTGCTGTGCCAGGCACTATACACATGTATAAGCCTAGTGAAGGGCATCACCCCTAGAGATTAGGTATTTTATGCAAGCAAGTGGATGGTGAAGCAAAAACTCAAACCCAGGTCTGTCTGATCCCTGACACTCCCCAGTTATACCACCCAGGCTACAAGCCAGTTCTTTCATAACTAGAGCCAAAACAATTACCAAATGGTCCTCACTTCGATTAAAGGTGGAGATGAGTCTTGCTATGTAAGGAATGAGGGAGCTTACATCAGTGCACTCTGCTTTAGGCTAAACTCCTCCCCTATTTTTTAATGGAAAAACAGCTAATTACACTGTTTTACAAGCAAACTGACAAAAGTAACAGTAATCGTTTTGCTTGCTTGGCATTGTTTAAAAATGAAATTAGTTGTTTGCTGTTTTAACCATGAAAAGTCATTGAGGTAGAAAGGAGTTGAGGATAGGAAAGGAAGGTAAGAATGTTAAGCCAACCAAACTGTCCCTGGAAGTGGTCCCATGGGTTCCCCAAGCAATGAAGGCATTGTATAAATACATAATCCCCATTTTAAATCTGACAAAAACAAGTCAGAGAAGTTAAATACTTTGCCTATGTTTGCACAGAATGTAGTAAAATGAGAATTTATACAAATGTCATCTAGTTCCAGCCCAATGCCTTTTCATTAAACCATATTTGTGATTTTCAACGGAACAACACCATTTGTTAAACACCCACCTTATGTGAGGTTTGCCAGGGTGGGGGAATGAGAGGCAATTTCCCTAAGGTTTAAACCTTATCTATACCAGAATTCTTACTCTGAACCTTGCTGTGTGCCAGCTACTGAGCTAGGGGGATGATGAATGGACATGTCCATATTTCTTGCACCTATTTTGTGCATAGCACTTTGCGTTGAATTATGATAAGAGACAAAGGCACAGAATGGAAGTTTAGATTTTTATTAAACAAGGCAAGTCATGTGGAACAATAATGTAGCCATGCCTGCTGCGCTGGAGGGAGAATTTCAGGAAATTCTGGCTTGTAGAAAGTGTATTCTGAAACCTAGGAAGAAAGGAGACTGTGGCCTGGTGGAAATAGGACAAGCTTTAGCCAGAGTTCTGGATTTGTCTCCCTTGGCAAATAATTTAATGCCTCTGAGATTCCTGATTAGAGAAGGGAGAATTAGAGATTAAATATTTCAAAATTTTGGCACTCAAGAGTAATAAGAACAATGGCCAGAAAGAGTTCCCAGAAGAGAGCTTAAGCTAGGCCCTCAAGTTAGGGAAAAAATGGTAAAGATGTATTTAAAGTGGGCTGCTGGGAATCTCACCTTGCCTTTTGGAATGTAAGCCTCTTTAAAAAACTGTAACTCCAGCCAAAGACTGGCAGAGGCTCTGATTATCCTTAAACAATATCAGAGACCCCATTC